GGCTTGAGTGTGTTTTTGGCGTTTTTTGATCCCGGTAGGCTCCGGCGCTCTCCTTTACTCCTCTCCGCATGTGTGAGTGTTTGTGTGTACGTGGTCTGAGTTTTGGATTCCCTGTGAAACAGGGAACCAGCCCGCAAGAGGTCATTTTGGGAAGAAAAATTACTTTGGTGCATTGCCGTTGCAGTTTTCTTCCCCTGTTTTCCTATATTCCTCGTGGTGCGGGTGTGCTTTTTTTTTGTAATTAAATACGTGCCTATAGGGTTCCTTAATATAAATCCACGCAGGCCTATCAACAAATGGCATGCTGCCTGCAGAAGGAACACGAGCCCGTCGTTTGCTATACAGACTTGGGTGTTGCAGGCAACTGAGGGCCTTGGCAGGCTCTGGGAAATCAGTGTCCGTCCCAGAGTGGGTGTCCGGGGCTGGACAATGGTGGCTGTGTGGAGGCATCACCTGTCTGGAAATGCCCTGTGACACCTGGGCAGAAGGCAGGCAGCTGCAGGAGGAAAGTGCTGCCAGCACGTTGCTCAACCGGCCACTCTGAAAGTTATCAAGATAAGCCCTTGTGAAGTTGATTAGGAAAACATATTGCTAATTGTTCTTTTAAAATAGAATTGGCTTATCTCAGACTACTGCTGAAGGTAGCCATCTTGCAGAGAAGTGCTGTTATTTCTGGAACAGAAAGCTGTAGCAACCTATGTAATGATCGTAATTGGTTTTTAAAATATTACCAGAGATTTGACAATCCTGGAAGCCTTAAAAAAAAACCCCAAACCATTCACTCTTTAGATACTCTTTGGCCAGGCCAATAGTACTAAAACATGTTGTCATGTCAAATGATATTTTTAGCGTGTGGATCATCTGCTAAACTGGGAAATTCAGCTGTGTCTGACTGTAACACCTAAATTCTTGGTGTGTGCAGCTGGCAGAGCAGCTTCCCAGGTTGCAAATTTCTGAGTTAGCTCAGGCTAATGTGCTCATCTGTCAAGAAGAGTCAGGGCATAAAGGTTTCACTTCACGTATGCTTCAGTCCTGCCTGTGTTGGCAAATTTTGCCTCTGGTAGTAGGAAAATGTTTGTAGAGGCTGAGTGGGTATGCTCAGTTCTAAAATTCAAAGTAGTGTTTGTTAGCATTGCACATTATAGTGTGGGTATTTAAAGAGACAGACTTTTATCCCTGCCAGAGATAAAAATTGCCTTGAACTTTAAGCGGAATCATTGGAAGTTAAGGCATTCACTCTGTACCCTGAGCACAGAGTTCAAGGGTAGAGCATTTAAAGTTTAGCTGAGTGTTGTAACTTACTGGCCACCCCTCTTGGTTTTTATGCATTACTGTGGCTCCAGGGAGACCTAAATAATTTTCTGCTGTAGGTCTTTTTGTATACTTACTTGGGCTGTAAAAGTAATCACAATTCATAACCCTCAGCCCAAGAGATTCCCTACTTTTTCATTAGAGAGGTTCTTGCTTGACTTGTCCCACAACTCCCTCCTGTGCTGCCTCCTTGTAGTACCAAGGCAGTGAAGTTCTCTTCTGCGTGGATTAATGAACAAAATTCATCAATCTTAACATTTTTCTCTGCCTTTAATGTGGAATAAGAGGAAGGACAGCAGAAAGGAAATATGTGCAAGCCCCTCAGTAAGATGTGACCACTGTTCTGTTCTTGTGCAGGAGAACAAGAGGAGATCTGCCCCTTGTGTTGTTTCTGGTAGTGTACAAAGTCCTCCTTTCTATTAGCTTGCTCTGATATACCATTATTTGTTTTTTTACACATCAGTTATAAAATTAGGCATCATAAACCTGCCGGTACTCTTCTGTGTGCTGTAGCTCGTGTTGTGAGGGCAGGGGCCAGAGAGCAAAGCACAAAAGCCTGCTAGAAATAACAGTGGGTGGGGGCAGGAGGGTTGGAGTGAAATTCTCCATGCATCAAACACCACCATGAACTTGACTGAAGTGCCGTCCTGTCTCTGCTGCTTGGGGGAACACTTTCTACCAAAGGCATTAATGTGACATATCCTGTGTGGTTGTTTTTGCAAAGCCCAGTGTTCTCCGAAGTCTCAGCTATTTAGTCATGCTCTTCTGGTCTGTGCTCATTTCCTGTGTGGGCAGGTCCCCCAAGAGTCTTCCACTACCCTATCCCACCCTTTTCATACGTCTGATGAGTGTTCAAGAACACTGGTTTCATAAAAGTGGGCTTGGGCTGAAATATGAGGCATTGATTGCGAAACAGTTTGGAAGAGGCATTTCTTTTAACATTATTTGGGATTTTATGGCCACGTGTATCCTTGGAAATCTCTTCCTGTGGTTATCCAGCACCCCAGCCTCCATCTGATTGTTAGAGGCACAGTAACTACTTTTCATTATGGCCTTAGGAAATTTTAGTTACCTGCAGGGAAGAATTGCTTTCAGATATGCAGTTGCACTGGCCTTTCAACTTCCTTGTTGCTGCTGGGTGGGAAGGGAAATCAGCCTTCACCCAGGCTGTGAAATTCAGCTGCAGTTTGTGTTAAAGGACTGCAGTTGTCTTTCTGCCAGCTGAGGCTGGGATGTGTGAATGCCAGCTCCTTCCCAAAAGCTCTGCGGGCCAGCAGGAACAACGAGAGCCGCGTTCACTCATATCATGCCCCAGTACTGCTTTGGGGAGTGTTTACAGAGTGCAGCCCAAGTCCTGGTGGTTATTTCCAAGATAAATGCTCAAAGCCTCTGCCTCACAGTGGCGTGTGTGAATAGAAGAGCTGTCACTTCTCTTAGTTACAGAATTCACATTCTTACCTATGCAGAATAGATCCTTTTCTTGCACCAGGCAAGCACGCGTTTTTATGGACTTCAGCCATATCCTTCCTCTCTCTTTCCCTGTAATAATAATAATTGGACTAACAGCATTAGGAATGCTCTGCCTGAGCAGCTGTGTGCTGACACCCTGGCTCTGGATGAGGCTGAGGGGTTGCAGAAGTTGATAAATGTTAAATGCAAAGCCTGAATATCCCTCGCTGCTGATGAAGGGTACGGCAGTGGCAGCTTTGGCAGGCTGGGGTTCAGTAAGAGCTGTCCCATCCAGCTGCTGCTCGGCGTGCCTGGTGCCTGGTATTGGGAAAAGCAACAGGTCTGCTTTGCTTTCCTGTGAGGGTGCTGGTGATCAAACCTGTTTAGCATTTGCTCATTCTGTTTGTGAGTAACTTAGAATATTCCAGAAAAAAAAAAAAAGACCCCTAAACCAGGACATTGACATATATTTACTTTTATGATGCCTTTTTATCTCTGTTTGTTTGTGATGTTGCTTTGCCTCCAAGTGCTTTTTTCTGGTAGACATGAGTCTTTTGGCTAATGTGAGCAGAACAATCTTTGCCTATTCCATGGCAGCCCAGGGAGGCTGGCTGTGCCTCCCTCAGCCCCAGTGTGCTCCAGAGCACGACTGAAGGTCCCTGCCGAGCCTCGGGATTGCAGAGTTCCTTAGGAGATGTGTAGCATCACTCTGGGAGGTTCGGATGTGTTACAGGCCGGCCAGAAACGAGACATGGCCCCTGTTGTTGTTGTAGCAGAAGTGGTGCATTGTAACATGTTGCAGGGAGGATTGGAAACATGTGAAAGCTTCTCCTGGCAATTGTTTCCGTGTGCATCACCCCGAAGGGAGGGAATGCAGCGAGTACTTGTAGCAGTTTGGTGTTAAGCATGGAGCTGATACAGACCTCCTTGTTTTTCTTTAGGAAAAAGTGCTTCCTGGTGGAGAGCTGCCTGTGTTTTCACACATTTGACCCGGAAAGATATGCCTAACAGGCTTTCAACTCTTACCTGCTTTTACTACTAAATGAAGCATTTGATTTAAAAAAGGACCTATTGTTCAGTGTACTGTTCATCTTGAGCTGGCGTTTTCCCGTGTTGCACCACACATACTATGTGCACTGCAGCACTTGTCTGTCTTTTTTTTTTTTCTCTCCCTCCCCTACCTGCAAAACAGTGCAGTCAGGAAAATGGCTTCTGTGGGCTTCAAAGCAAGGATTAGATACTGTCACTGAGGCTGAGGCTGTGCAATACTTTGCTTAGAAAAATAAAATAAAATCGAAATTGCATTAAAATGAACCATTTCTGGTTTTCTTAGATATTCTCAATAGAAGAGCCTTTTAATGCATGTTCTCAATAAGTAGACTTTAAATGCAGGTTCCTCTTCTAACAATGTTTTCTGTCAGTGTTGCTCTGTTCGCTTGTGAAGTTCCCTCCTGTCCCTTTTTTGCACTACTGTTCAGGGTATTTCTAAAATCCAGCTATATTTGGCAATGCATCACTCTCTGTGTTACAGGGAAGTGATCACTCAAGGGATTTGGAGAAATTAAATTAACTGAGGTCTTTAGAGAACATACTCAGAATGTCTTTTGAGAATACACTCGCTTCCAATGCTTTCTGCTGGAAAATAAAGTTGTGTTCTCTCCCGATTCTTTCTGCAGGGTGGACTTTATAGCGTATTTGTGTATTTAGTATTTTTCACGTTTGTGGAGTTTATCACTCTCAAAAACAAAACAAATGCTGAAGTGATAGACAGCCCAATTTTCTAGGTTGCTTAGAAACTGAAATGCATGCTGTAGTGTGAAAATACTCAGACAAAGTAAGGGAATGTTTATTGGAACAAACAGAAGATCCTGTGAAAGTGTACTGTGTAAATAATTAAAGCTTATGTTTATATTTGCTTGTGGAGCAGAGGGATACCTTCTACATAACTTTTCAGTAAGAAAATTCTTATTTTTCACACTTGATAAAAGTGTGTTGATGTGATAGGATGTGACTTCTCTAGTAAAGAAGTGCAGTGCTGCAGATTTTTGGATACTTCTTGAGATGGACCATTGGTCCTTTGGGGTACTTTTGAGTTTTGAAAGAGGAGTCATTATTCTTTGGCCCAGTTTAAGATCTGTTCCCCAAGTAACTAGGAACAAAAACTTTAGATTCCTGGAATGCTAGCACAGTGATCAAGCAAGACTGGATTTTATGAGTTTATCAGTCTTTTTAAAGAAAACTGAAGGTTGTTTGTAGTCTAAATAAGTTAGTTTGGGTTGTTTTTTTAAATAATTTTCTTTATTTTTATTCAAGATTTCAGCCAAGCAATGTCTCAAGCTGGCTCCTCACAGTTTCAGGAAGTCATTCGACAGGAGCTGGAGTATTCAATGAAAGTAGAACTTGATAAGATCCTTGCGACCGCACACTCAAATGAGATAGAGGTAAGGAGCACGGGTTGGGTGCTGCTCAGAGCATGAGAAATGGGATGCAGGACACTGAGGCAAATCTCAGAATGGAGATAAATCACAGATCTCCAGATCCTTATTTTTAGGATGTGCTCTGATCCTGTGTGGAAGAGTAGCCAGGATACAATGTCAGTAGGAGACTTTCGGTTCCCTCTAGACTGGGTGACGGAGTTATTAAGTGTTTAATCATCTTTAGTTATTAAAGGTTCTGTGTAATCTTCAGTGGATTACAGAAAGGGAGGGTAAAGCTGTTATCTTAAATGTTGGGCCAAATTGTAATGACAAAAGACTTGTTGTTTATCCAAGTTGGTTTTGTACTCTGAGTTTCAGTGAAAATGAGCTTTTGGTAACTTCTGGAATTTTATCTAAAGTTTAGCACATCTACTTGAGTGCTCATGAAATTACTCTCGTGAATAGATTGTACATCAATTTGTAGAAATGCTTCTGTGATTGAGTAGGTGCTCATTGAATGCCAGCATTAACTAATGCATTTCTTCTTTGTAGCACACTAAAAAGGATCTGGAAGGATTTAAGAAGCTATTTCATAGATTTCTACAAGAAAAGGGACCATCTGTGGACTGGGGGAAGATCCAGAGACCTCCAGAAGATTCTGTAAGTTGTGATTAAGTGATGGTGTGTAAGGAAAATAAAACTGATAATTGCTACTTAAGGCAAATGATGTATTCACCATTGAATGGGTCTGTCTGCTATGGTTCTATAAAACCAAGTAGGACAACACTTTGGGTTCTAACTAAGAAATAATTATTTGTTGACATATGCTGTATGTCTTCCTGAATATCAGGTTCTGCTTACCATATGTGTCAAGTTCTTTGGTATTATTTTGTTAGCTGTTCTGGGAGCAGGGGAACAAAATGGGACAGATGCCACCTCACCATTTGGTGCCTTCTCTGGAGGAAACCTGTGTTAGAGGGGAAGTAGGGAGGACCTTTGTTGTTCCCATTTCCCTTCTGCCTGTAGAAGAGGGTTGCACATCTCAGATGAGACTGTTTCCAGCAATCCTTTATGTTTAATAATTTGAAAGGGACATATGGCAAGTGGGCTGGGTAATAAAGCTCATTTAGCAACTTCTATAACCTGCAGCAGCTCAGCGAAAGTGAGGGATCTGGAACAAGGAGTTGACTGTAGGGGGTTTTGGAGCCTGATTTCCTAGTGTTGTCTATGTTGTTGTAACTTATAACCTATTTGAGCTGCTGCTGAAAAAGCACTATGTATTTTTTCAGCACTGTTTAGTACTGAAATAAATACTTCCTATTAAACCTAACCTCATTTTACTGATTCATCAGTGGCCTTAGGCTGTGCTTTGACTCTTGTGTAACGAATGGTGTAGTTGTGCTACGGATTCTTGCTTTTCCCAGCCTAGTGATCTTGGCATATTGCAGGAGCTCTGTGTGCTCCCAGGCCTGTGGTTTCTCTGAGGCTCTCTGTGTGCCTCAATCGAGGCTCTGTTCCCCATGAAAGGCAGGCTGTCCAGTCACTTCCAGAACAGATGCAGGGCTGCTCTGTAAAGCATTGAAGAATGATGCTGTTTTAGAGCAAGTCTAGGGTTTTTCCAAGGTTGAGTGTTTTCTTTTAACTTCAAAAACATGTGATGTCTCTCTTTTCTGTACTGTAACAGTGAACGAAGTGTTGCTTTGGAGAGAGAAGCCTGCCCTTAATGAAGAGGCCAGGGTGGGAAATTGGAGTTCTAGATAAGATGACTTACAAGGAAGGCTGAAGAAAAGGGGATTTCTTTCAGTGTAGAGGGGCTGAGACTCTGGGGGCATGATAGGTCTTTTAAATATGTAAGAAGGTAGTTAGGACAATCAAAGGAATAAACTGTTCCCTGTGCCAAGAGAAGGGATTAAATTACAGAAGTGTGATGTGAGTGAATGGGTGCTTTGTGGAGAGGAAGAGCTGCTGTCTATTTTTCAAGTTTTGCACACCTTCAGTGAAAAAATTTACAAGTTCTGTGAAGGTCTGAAAGTACCCAGGTAGGACATCTGGAGCAGATGTCAAACTGGAGGTTGTGGCAAGGCTCTGAAATAGACTGGGGGCATATTCCCAAGTATGGGGTATTCCCAGGCATGGCAAGCTGCTGAAAATGAACTAACTTCAGGTCACAGAGGGCTGAGGGGAGAATGGCAGAATTAGAAAGAGTATCTCTCTTATTTCCTTATGGCCTGTACTGCTCATTCTCTAATGTGTCCCTGTGCTAGGTAGCAAAATAGCTTTTGATGAGAGAGAGAAAGGTAAGAATTCTGCAAAATCAGTGACCTGCAAAATCAGGTGACTTCTGGTCTGATGAGATGCATGCATGACGGGAAGTGAAATTTTGCTTCCTAGCATGAACTCTAAATCAAATAACTGTGCTTGTTGGTAAGTGCCACAGAAGAGAGCTGGGGCAGAATATCTGCTAACAAACTTCCTTCCATGCCTTCTTCACTTCACAGTGAATACCCCTTTCTCTAGGGATACTTGGACTTCCTGATCCGACAGGACGTGGGTTTGAGTGCTTATGAAAACTGAGAGCAAAGATAAATTTCTTTGTTTTTTCCTTTCTCCTTTTTGCTGACCATATGATTTCTGTCTCTCCCTGCTGTGTCCACTCCCTCCTTTTTAATGCATCAGTCATGTTAGGGACATACTGTGGAAAATGAAGAGGGTTCCTCATAAGACACATTCCAAGGGATCTTCTCCCAAATTGTTCTTTTCTGAGGAGTATGCAATATGGAATTATTAAATAAAAGTTGATTTCATAAAGACCAGAATTTCAGAATTACTCGTCTAGCTAGTATGGGTAAGAACAGTGTGAGCTTTTAGGAGGGCTAAAGAGGGATAACTTCTGAAGGGCTGCAGTACTGAGTTCTTTGGGACAGATATCCATCTGTGAACACATATTTAGTTTGAGTGCTTCAGTTCCAATTTAGTTTTCTTTTCCCATAAAACCTCAGAGCATATTCTCCTCCTGCTCTTGTTACAACAGCACAGGGATTGGTGTATAGAAGAAGTGTTTGCTGGTAATCTTGCAAGTCCTTTATAATTGCAAGTGATTTATAATTGCCTGTAGGGATGACCTTGTTTTATGAGGTGGTGGGATGCTTGGCTGCTTGGACGATTTCACACTGCAAGGATCATGGCCTAGAAAGCACCAAATTCTTTGCAGTGTGTATTTATTTGCCTGTGATTGTTTTGGAGACTTGCCTTGCTGCTGGGAATTCTGGCAAGTCTAATCTTCAGCTGATCCCTAGTAGAGCAAAAGGCATATGTTGAGGTATCTATGTGCCTCTGTGTGTATAAACACACTGACATACATGTGTATCTGTAAACAGGCACACAAATCATCTGCCAAGTGTGGGTTTGTTGCTTTTTTATTTATTTCACAGCTTAAAAAAGTTCATGAATGTTGTGTGACTCCCCAAAGGGTAACAATTAGCATTGACTCCATGATTGCAGAAGGCTGATCAATTGTTTCATTGTTCTATCTTCTACTGTAAGTAGTAAGAAGCTCCTAACCCTTACAGACAGTCCCATACAGCTTTGACCTAATTGGTCAATCAATCCAAACATCATCCAGTGTCCAATTAAGAAATCCCCCTTTGGTGAACAATCTCCATAACACATTTCACGTGTGCACAACAGGTGCAGCAAGTGGAGATGAGAATTGTTTCTCATTCTGTTCTCTGATCTCACAGCCCTTCCCAGGACAATGTCTGGGAAAGTCTGTGCCTGCTCTCTGTGGCCAGAGAGCTGCTGCCACACATGAATAGTTTATTGGATATATGGCTTTGTCCTTTATGTGGGGAAGAGTGTTTCAGGCATTTGCCCAGTGCCAAGGGACAGTGCTGGGGGTGCTGTGCAGAAGCAGAATTTCTGATGAGACTTCTATAGGGCATCTAGTGTGTTATCTATTGTATTTGTCCTCTGAATGTAGCTTCTGCTTCTTCCTGAAGACAAGTAAAGTCTCCTATCAGTAAATTGAAACAGAAATTATTGCTTTGTAGTATTCCTGTTTTTCTCTGCAATGGGAGATTCCACCCCTGACCTCCATGTTTTCAGTGTAACAGCTTATACTGATGACAGTAACAGAAGATTGAACCCATTTCACACTATATTGGTAAACCTCTGACTTGTTTTTTCCTTCCAGATGCTTTGCTTTCATATGTCCAAAGGCTTACAGTGATAGCTCGCATAGTTAGCACCCATTACTGTTACAGTCTCCAGAGAAGAAAGTTCACTGAGAGTGCCAGTTAACAGGGAGAGGAGGTAAAGAATGTGGACATGGCAAGTGTAACTTAATCCCCTCGATGTAGATTACAGCCATCTGTTTGTTTGAATTGGAAGCAATAGCAAAGTCCTGCTGGGAGGCCTCTGAGAGAACTGCAGTGATCAAGTTAACCTCAGAACAGCAATGCAGAACCTCATCTGGGATGTAAAGAGAGCATCTGAAGCAATGTGAGTGTGAAAGGAGCTTGTCTATTAGAGCCTTTGTTTTTTTCTTCCCCAGAGGTTGGATTCTTGTCTGTAGCTCAGGTTGTCACCTCAGTGAGCTATATCATGAAGGAAAAGAATGAATGTTATGCCCTTACTCAAAAGCTAAATATCTTCTTAATCTTGAACTTTGGAAACAAGTTTTAAGGGTTCATAGAATTGTGGAATGGTTTGGAAGGGATCTTAAAAATTGTCTTGTTCCACGCCCCTTCCCTGCACAGGGACACCTTCCACTAGACCAGGCTGCTCCAAGCCCTACTGAACTTGGCCTTGGACACCTCTGGGGATGGGGCAGCCACAGCTTCTCTGGCTGAGCTGTTCCTCTGCTTTACCACCCTCAGAGTAAAGAACTTCTTCCTAAGATCTGATATAAATCTCACCTCTTGTAGTTGGAAACTATTCTCCTTCTCCTGTCCATATCAGCCTCTGTAAGGAGTCTCTCTTCCTCTGTAAGCTCCCTCTAGGTGCTGTAAGGCCTCCCAAAGGCTCCTCTTCCCCAGGCTCACCCCCAGCTCTCCCCACCCTGAGCTCACAGGAGGGCTGTTCTCTCTCTCTCTGATCACCTTTGTGGCTCTCCTCTGCACTGCTCTAACAGGTCCACAGATTTCCTGTGCTGAGGACTCCATGTTGGGGTGCAGCACTGCAGGTGGGGTCTCATGAGGGCAGAGACCTCTTAATGTGGTGCTGTTTCCAGAACTGTCCCTTGGTGCTGAGTAAATGTTTCCTCAGGCTGTAAGTACACATTAACTAATAGGGGCGTCCTCCTTTCCGGTCTGCCCACGGTGACAGCCCTGATGCTCATTCTGTCTGTCTCTGACAAACTCTTGCAAGCCTCCTTGCAGTAGGAGTGGGCTGCTGGAATCTGTTAGTCAAACTCCCAACATTGCCTCATCCAGGCTGTTCCAAGAAATCACTTCTGTGACATTGGCTGAAAAACAAAAGAAGCTGCATGTGTCATCTTAGAGCAGTCCCAAACCAGGGCTGCCAGGCTGTCTCAAGCAAGTGACACTGCAGCCATGCATCTGTAAGACATGGCATTCCTGCCCCTGGCTTTTCCTGAAGATTTCCCCATAAGCACTTACTTGTCAAGCACACAGTTCCAAACCCTTAGAGCAAGAATTGATTTTTATTGCTGTGGAGCACTTCTCCAGTTGTGTATGGGCTTGTAGGTATTGTGCATATCAGTGCCTGCACATGGCTGGAACTGCTGGATTGATAGCCCTGGCATCCAGCAGTCCTGGTGCTGCAACGTTCCTGCTGGAACTTGACTTTTTGACATTTGTTATTCTCTGAATTAAAGACCCTTCAAGATCCAGGACTTTATTGCCAAGTTGATGTTTCCAATGCCTGTGCCAGAAGAAACTGAAACATTTAGTGAGGCTGAGTCATAAATTTTGTGTTGTAACTGGTGAAACATCCAGTGAACTAAGTCCTTGATGGAGCTGTTACCTTCTTCAGGGATTCTACTCTGAACATCCTGCAAAAGCTGGTTTCAGGCATGATAGTGAAAGCATCAAAAGGTAGTTGGCACTTTAGCAAAAGCAAATGATTTTTGAGGCAGTCTGGCCCTGAACTGTGTGTCAGACTTTCTGCTTTTTGTGAGTGATGCAAGAAGAACACAGTGAGACTTGAAAGTTGAGATAATTTTTTTGGATGTTCAGACAGTGTCAGAACATCATGGATGTGACTCACATCCCACCCAGCTAAAGCTTGAGATGAGATGTTTTTCATCCATGTACAAGTCCAATGCAGGGTGTTCCTGACCTTGGAGGGGATGGGAAGCAATAAATCTGAGTGTAAGTCTCTGTATGTCCTGCTGGTAGCAGCATGTTCATTGAGCTTCCTGATGCACCTCCAAGACATTAAACCCAGGATTTATCATCTCCTTGTTAATGAGAAGAGCAGTATTTCAGGGTGCTTCAGCCTGAGCATAATCTCATAATTAAAATAATGTTCTAGCAGCTAGAATGCTACAGCACTGGAACACCAGGACTTTTCTTCAAAAGACAAGCACAGCAAGAGTCCACTTTCTGTGTGCTTCTGTTCCTGAAAAGTTCTTGGCGGTTTGGAGGAAGCTCCTGCTTGTGTCCTCATGAAATGACAGGGATTGTTGTGCTGTTTCTGTCCCAGCCATGACACCTCCACGTGGAGTTATCTTCTCTTGCAATGCATCCTATAGGCTTTGCAGATCCCATGGGCAGAATTTCTCTCCTGTGGGGGATCTGCCTGATCTGCTGCCCGGGGTGTCCCAGAATGCTGGAATTGCGCAAGGCGTCCTCTCTACGCCCGGTATCCCAGTGAGAAAACATGACTCTTGTTTCCAGGGCAGTGTGAATTTCCATTTGAACCCCAGCCCTTGCCCAAAGCAAACACAGCTCTGAAAACTACTCTGTATGTACTTGGTTTTGGAAACCAGCTGTGGATCTTACACACCCCTTATCAGAATTAAAATAATGTTCTAGCAGCTAGAATGCTACAGCACTGGAACACCAGGGCTTTTCTTCAAAAGAAAATCCCTAAAAGGGCAGGCTAAAAGATAATTGTATTGATTCTAGTCTAACAGTTTTGGCATGATTCTTACTGTGGTATTGTTACCATTATTTCTTTGACTTAGGTGCTTTTAGGAAGGAGGCAACAGTTCCTAATGTGAGACACACTGTTCTTATGAGCCTGAATTTGCTCTCCATCATGAGCCCCAAATGTAGCCCAGACTGTTCTTAAACCCGTAGGAAACAGCTGTCAATGAGGTAGAAGACTTCCTGTAAGGTCTGTTATGAGCTGGATGAGCACATTCTGAAAAGAGCAGAATAAGAACTGGGAACTCTCTTCTACTCTGTATCATGCTGTCAGGAGAAATAAATTGCATCAGAATAGTGGCTGGAATGAGAATCAGTGTAGACTGAGTTAAAGAACCAACATTTTCCCAAGAATGTTGCCTTTGACAACCTCAGAGGGGAAAAAACAAAAAAATCTATGAGTTTAAGCTGCTCAGGGAAGGAAAGTTACATGTCTTGCATGTAGGGCCTGGGTCTTAAATTGTGGCCTGACTGGAGGGGGAGAGGGGCCATCCCGTGGGGCAGTGAGTCAGATGGTCCCCAAGGAAAACCCCTGCCCTTCTGCAGGGCAGGAACAGGGTTGTGACAAGTGGTGTAACTGGGCTGACTTCTCATCTGAATGAAGCTAATGCTGCCTGGTGTCACAAAGTCTTTAGAACCTCTTGAGCAAAGAGGTCATTATAGTAACAAACCAGGTTATTTGTATCATAACAAAACAGTTACTGTAGACTCACTTTGCAGATGTTCTTTAAAGTCATAAGGCATGTGAATAAATGTGGGTTTTATCACCAGATTGTAAGTTTTGAAAGTTTTTAGAGAAATCAATTTCTTTCCAAATATCTGACTGCTGGGTTTGGGTTTTTTTTTTTTTTTGTTCGTTTGTTTTCCCAGATCCAGCCCTATGAGAAGATCAAGGCCAGAGGCCTGCCTGATAACATTGCTTCTGTCTTGAACAAGCTGGTGGTGGTGAAGCTCAATGGTGGCTTGGGCACAAGCATGGGCTGCAAAGGCCCCAAGAGCCTCATCGGGGTGCGGAACGAGAACACCTTCCTGGACCTGACAGTGCAGCAGATCGAGGTAACGCTGCAGCAGCCAGCGCACACTGAGCTGCTCCTGCATGGCTTGCTAAGGGGGATCCAGTGGGGGCTTGCCAAAAGAAAGAGGAGAGGGAGGCGAGGTCTGGTGCTGGGTGAAGCAGAGAATTCCCACGAGAGGGACGGTGCAGTCAGCGACTGAGCTCTGTGCCCCTCACATGTGTCAGCACAAGTGTGACCCAGGCTGTGCACAGTGCCTGGACAGGGGGATCAGGAGCACAAGCAGTCACACTGCAGAGCTTGTCTGGCCTGGATAACTCCTGGGCTTGTTCCCGACTCCTCCAGCTGCAAGTTTGTCTTTTCAAAAAGGGATTTTTTATGTGCATTAGAACAAAGCTTTTCACAGCAGCTCCAAGTTCCTTCATGCATTTAAACTCTTGCACTGGAAGAGATTGTTGGCATTTTCCTCTGAAGAAAGAAGAGCAGAAGAAAATAACAGCTGCTGGTGTTGGGAGAGGACGTTTGGCTTATGTTTTTAATGCTGAATATTCCTCTTAGAGCGGATAAGGAAGACAGACAGTTATTAGAGTAGGAGGTGGGGTGTGCCTGCTCCCTGGTTTCTGGAGTGCCAACAGTTTTTGCCTCAGTGTGATGCTGTTTGGAGTGGCTCTCCCATGTGAGTTAGATGGTTCTATGACAAACTCAAATTTGCATCCAGCTGATGCAGCCCTTTCTCCAAAGCATCACTGTGGAAGTCTCTGACTCCACCAAAGTGTAATGACCCCAAATGCTCTAGCAGAGGAGGGTGAGCTGATACACAAAGCTTAAAATTCACTCAAAGGTCTTTCTCTTTTCCACCTGCCCCTTCTATTTTCAGTGAAACTGCTGTGATCTCTGATTTTTTTTTTTTTTTGCCTTTGTTGTGCACATAGAAATGCTCTTATGTATTTCAGCTCCATGCTATAGATTCCCAAATAATTAACATGGTGACATTTGATTTATAATGTGCTCTTGATACAATTGTCCATCTCTGTCTGCTAAGAAAATGTGGAAGCGCTTTCTGTGCAGACACAGTGTGGAAATGTCACCTTGACAGACTGCAATGATTCGATGGAAAACATGCCTTTTGTAATCAACAGTAGCTAAAACTTAAAGTGATCATTTTGTGGCATTGTGGTTTCAAATTTTAGACCTCAATGCAGGTTTAAAAACAAAGATTCACTAATTGAAGATACATTAATTAGTGTGGGTCTTATCTTTACAACTAACAAGGATTTATTTTCCTTTACCTGATTGATTATTCTTTTTGTAGCATAAGTGCATCTCTTTTTTTTCCTCATGCATTCATTATTTCCAGCCTGTTTCACCTAATTTCTTTCTCCCAAGATCTCAGGTGTCAGGAGTTAAAGCTAATAATACATGCTGAATTTACCATTTATTTCCCATCTCAGCATTTAAACAAATCCTACAACACCGATGTTCCTCTGGTTCTCATGAATTCCTTCAACACAGACGATGACACAAAGAAAATCCTGCAGAAATACAGTCACAGCCGTGTGAAGATATATACTTTTAATCAAAGCAGGTATCAAAAGACTTCTCCACTTGGGGTAGAAGAAAACAGCTTCTCCATAGTCCAAATGGGGTGGATTGAGTTTGAGGTGTCTTCTGTACCTGTGTTCAGTCTCTTTTGGGCCTTGTGCTGAGACTGAACCCAGGGGATTGGGTAGAGTGAAGGGCAATGTATTAAAATTGGGGAGAGGGGTTGTGTGGGCCCCAGTTTCCAAGAAATGTACAAATAGTGGTGTACTGGCTGCTGGCCCCTTAGTTCCTGAATTTGCTGTTAGTATCCTTGGGCTCTGGAGTTGTTCTCCTTATGGAGAACGAACTCTAGTCCAGGTGGCTGTTGGGGTCAGAGGGGTGTTGGATATGCTCTGGGCCTGCCTGTCAGAGGAAAGCTGGTTTGCAGTGTGGCCTGAGAACTGTGCCCTTACATCCTTGAGTAGATTGCATTCTGTAGCTTCTCAGTGACAGCTCAGAATGTGGGAGGGTCTTTCAGTTCAGAATACTCAGGAAAAGCACACCTCCAGAAGCCCAGGGAGCTGCACCTTAACTGTAATATTTTTATTTTATGCTATTCTGACACTGGTGAGGATGTAACAAGACCCGTTGTCCTCACAGGTACCCCAGAATTAACAAGGAAACTCTGCTGCCAATAGCCAAGGATGTCTCTTACTCAGGAGAGAACACGGAGTGCTGGTACCCTCCAGGCCATGGAGACATCTACGCCAGCTTCTACAACTCTGGGCTGCTGGACAACCTCATTGCAGAGGGGAAGGAATATATTTTTGTGTCCAATATAGATAATTTGGGTGCCACTGTGGACCTTTACATTCTTAACCACCTCATGAACCCACCCAATGGAAAACGCTGTGAATTTGTCATGGAAGTCACAAACAAAACCCGGGCGGATGTGAAGGTAAAGGGAGATGGGTGAGAGTCTGAGTGTGTTGGTGGCCATCTCCAGCCTCCTCTGAATCCATGGATTCAGGCATACACCCAGTCTCCTCATAGCTATTTTAGGCACCATTTAACACATCAGCTCAGATCTAATTTGAGATGCACAAAATCAGCAAGTTTAGGAAGTTGTAATTCATGGAACAGATTTGATCTGTGCTCTGGGCAGCAGCAGATGAGGACAGCCTGGGCTGGCCTGGAAGCATGAGGGATGTGCAGGGTGCAGGTCACAACCTCTGCACCTTCTCCAAACTCTCACATACACTGGGGGCAGAAGCTGGAAGCTTGAAAACAGCATTGAGGGCTGGGATGCAGCAGTTGTGTCTCAGAAAACTGCCTAAGCCACTTTCAACCCTGCATTGCACAGCTGCCCACCTGGTCCTGCCCTAGCCCCTGGCTTTGTACCAAGACCAGGAGTGGCATTTCTCAGAGGTTTATGGCATGTATCAAATACTTGTAGCCTGCCGTGATTTGTCCTGCTACTGTGCTCTGCCTCCCTCCTTTTGTATGTGAGAACAAGATTTGGATTTTCTCTGTATTCATTTGGGAAGCTCTGACTTAACCCTATAAAACACAGCAATGCACTGTAAGAATACTTAGATTTAATTTACCTTTTGCTCCATCATCTGACAAAGTACTGCTGAGGGTGACTTTTGACAACAGCAGCATTTGTAAAATATTCTCAACAACCTTTGTTAAAGGAATGAACGATTTTGGAGTGCTGAAATATGATTGTTGGGCAGTCCTGACTGTACTTTAAACATGCTCTATAATTAGTAACCTGGTAGCTGGTTACTAAAAACAAGATGTGTGTTTTCTCTGGGGTTCAACATCAAATGCCAACAGATCAGTGCAGCTGCCTGTGTTGAGGGGAAGATTTCTCTGGCTTCTCATGAACAGGACTTAAACCCTCTCACTTGCCCCTTGCAGGGTGGCACGCTGACGCAGTACGAGAACAAGCTGAGGCTGGTGGAGATAGCTCAGGTCCCTAAAGCACACGTGGATGAATTCAAGTCTGTGTCGAAGTTCAAAATATTCAATACCAACAATTTGTGGATAGCTCTGTCTGCAATTAAAAGGCTGCAAGAGAAGAACGCCATTGACATGGAGATCATTGTTAACCCAAAGGTAATCAGCTGGCAAGGGTTTAGAGAACACTGACCCAGACAAACTTTTAGTTTCTGGGTGGGTAACAGGCACTGCTCCCTCACAGAGCCAGGCTGGGGGCATTGGGTTCCAGCTCTGAGTGCCAGGACCTGCTCCACGTGTTCACGTGAGTTTTCTCTTCCAGACTCTGGATGGAGGCTTGAACGTTATCCAGCTGGAGACCGCAGTTGGTGCTGCTATCAAGAGTTTTGAGAACTCTCTGGGGATAAACGTCCCTCGTAGTCGTTTCCTGCCTGTGAAGACCACCTCGGATCTCTTGCTCGTGATGTCCAATTTGTACAGCCTTAACGCGGGGTCTCTAACCATGAGCGAGAAGCGTGAATTCCCAACAGTGCCTCTTGTCAAACTGGGAAGCTCCTTCACAAAGGTAAACACCCGGTGCTCAGCTCTGAATGAAGACACAGCTCATAGCAATAACTGAGTGAAAAGAGATTTATCTACCTCTGCCCACCTGGGCCTTCCCTTTTGCTCTTTGTGAAGGCTGTGAGAATTCAGATACTGGCTGTGCATGCTGGCTGCTCCTGCAGCCCTCAGCTGAGCTGGCTGCGGGAGCTCCCCGGAGCTCGCCCAGCCCTAGGGGGCAGCCCCCCTACTCACATTTGTTTCTAAAAGAAATCACAATTACAAAGTAGCAACTTTTGTATTGATGCAGATGTAGGTTATGGGAAGGTTCCTGAAGAGTATTCAAGAGGCTTCTCCCATGCTTGTCTTAATCCAGGGATGGCTTTAATACTGTTTATTTATTTTCTCTTTCCAAAAGGTTCAAGATTACTTGCGGAGGTTTGAAAGTATTCCAGATATGCTGGAGCTGGATCATCTCACGGTTTCAGGTGATGTTACATTTGGAAAGAATGTTTCATTAAAGGTGAGTGTGCAGTGGGGATGCTGCTGCAATAAACCTGACTGATCTCTGCTCCTTGGCAATTGATCCTGAGGCAGTGCCTGTACACACAGTCCATAGGAGCACTCCTGGGAGTTGGGTAACAGGCCCAGAGATGGCAGAGGCCATGGCTGGACAGTGACCCTTGTGATGGGGTGCAGGATGCTGCTGCCAGAGCTGCTGCTCCATGCAGGCCCAGGCTGAGAGGACATTTATTTATGAACCTTGAAAGCACCACAGATGTCACATCTCTGTTCAAACACTGCTGCCACCTCTGCCCTTTGGCTCAGTCCCAACTCCCTTCCCAGGCTGGCCTTACCACCCCTTTTCAGGCCCTTTTGCAGCGCTTTGGGGTTCTCAATTTATTAGTAAATGTTGGAGCTGAGCAAGTTTCTCTCAAATTCTTCCTTAGGATCTTGATAGTCCTGGCAGCACCTGCAGTTCTCTAGGGCAGTTTGGCAGCTGCCAGGGGTGGAAGGTGGTACTGCATCACCTGGCACAGGCTGTGGGCTCTGAGCTGTCCCTCTGTCCCCACATTTGCTGTTCAGCTGGAACAGGAGCCTTCCTGGGCTGGGGGAAACATTTTTCCACTTCAAAGCAAGCAGACAAGAGCCCTTAAAGTAACCATGTCTTCAACTAAGTTACCAGTTCAGCTTGTAGGCCAATGGGCTCTAGCATGGTAATTAAGAGGTTCCAGTAATGCTTGTTTAAAACCTTTGGTCTGGAGAGAAAGGACCCCCAAATATGTATGCAGAAACAATACAACTAAATGCATTCAGGCTCTGGCTGTGGTACAGCTGACACTTGACTGCTCCTCCAAACAACCTATGCCCTCCTTCCACATCAACAGGTAACAGGTTTCTGAACCCTTGTTTCCTCTTCTGTCTCCCCAGGGAACAGTCATCATCATTGCAAACCATGGTGACAGGATTGACATCCCAGCTGGAGCTCTACTAGAGAACAAAATTGTATCTGGCAACCTGCGGATCCTGGACCACTGAGTCCAGGAGAGGGCACGGTCAGGGCTGGGGCTGCTGTGCCCAACCAGCCTTGTCGTGGAAGAACCTTTTAAGCATTAGAAATCTAAGTACACAGAGGGCCTATGCTTTGTCATCTTCACAGTACCCTGCAGTATTAATTTAAAATTAATTTCTCTTGCTTATCTTTAAGCAGCCACATAAGCGCCATGGATGTGCATAAGTAATGCTTCAGTCCTAAAGAGATTCTGTAACTCAGTTAATACAACCTTGAAGTGCAATACTGTTTGTCTTGCGGGAAGATGGACAGATCCTCTTTGATAAGAAGTTCAGAGGCTCGCCCTCGACCATGCAGTAGTTTTGAATTGCTTGTAACTGCAGAAATAAAGCTGTGAAGCAATACAGGTGGGACAACATGGTTGGCAACTCCTGTGACATTTTAGGAAGGCACAGTTGAAAACCAAAAGTTTCACTACTGCTAAACAGGCTCTTAAAACCCTGTATTTCATGTGCTCACAAGCTGTAGCCCTCTTCAACCCCCCCAAACTACAAGTGGGATGTCCTATCCCAGTTGTATGTCGAGGTACTGGGGTAAGGCTGTCAATACCTCCATTTCCGTATCGTGAGAGTGGGAATCATCCGTGTTCCAAACTTGCCCAAAGAATCCAATACTTGAGAAAAATGCCTCAGTAGCCACGTGTGGTCTTTGCTTTTTCACATCCCATTTAAGACTGGATCTCCTGTCAATATCTTAATCTTTGATCTGCCCTTTTTTTTTCAATAAATGGATCACGTTGACGACACCTATGTTGATATTGTCACAGCCATGTATGTTAATTTATCTCCTCTTGAGTTTCTAAATTTGTACAGGAATCGAAATCCCTGTCCTGATCACTATTGATTTCTTAATGTTTCTCTTGTATTTACATGCAGACAACTTTATTTTATAAGCTTAGTATAACACTGGTATGTATCATTAAAGAAGTTGGTCTTTAAAAACAACTGTGATTTTAGAGCTTTATTTTGACTGACAATGAATGACACGTGTTATGCTACCAGGTCAGCACGCCTGGTTGAGGGCACCACAGGCACACACACACTGCAGCAGAGACCATTCCATCAGACATGATCATCTCAGGGTTAGGCACTCGACTGGGGTCAGGTACAGAGGGGTGAGGTGAGAATCACAGGCACTTGTACTGAGCACTGGCAGCCTCCAGTCTGTTAAAGGTAGGATTAAAAACTCCAAAAGAGATGGATTTCAGCTGCACTCTCCTTAATGGTGCAGCCTTTTATAAGCAGCCTAAAAACTTTAAAATTCTTCCTGCCCGTTCTTTGTGTCCCTGTCCCTCCCCTCTGGCAGAGGTGTTGGGCAGCTGGAGGTGGCCATCCTTACACCAGCTTTCTTCCCACCTCCCACTTCCCCCACTGCTACCCTGTCACTGCCAACCAGGGTCAGGTCACTCCTCTCCCCCACAGGAACAGCTTTGAGGAACTGGCCCTTGCTTAGAAAATCTTGTCTTCAGATTTTAGGCCCTGAGAAATCCCCTGGAACAAGACTGCTCCCTAACAAAGCTGAATCCTATATGCGAGCAATCAAAAGACATTTATTTATATAAAGTTCTGTAAAAAAATAAATTTTAGAACAGCATAGTTTCATAGAGAAAAACATTTTCTACAGAGTTCCAACTGCAAGATTTTTATATTGTACCATCATTAAATAAGGTGGGACACCATGTGAATTTCATTGCACTAGAAGAAATGCAAAGCATCTTTTTAATATAAAGATATACAGAGCATTCTAGACAACTACAGCTGTGTTACAGCTATGTGTTCTTTTGGATTTGGTCCAAAGAAACCTGAGTCTGTTTCCAGAGAGAATGAAAAAACATTGCACAGACAGCTGATCACTTGTTTCTTGCTGAAGGACACTGGAAGGATCTCTCCCTGCAGCTCCCTCTGAGTCTAAGCTCCCCGACTCAATCCTGCCCTTCCTGGGGCTCTGGGCTCAAGCATTCACCTCACCATGTCACGCTGCTTAGAAGAGTCAGTCTGTTGTCAGAGCCAAGTGACTGCTCCCAATGGATTATCACCTCTTCTGCTCCCAGATTTCAGCCATGTTTAGATCTAAGTTGTTAAGGCCTTTCAAAGCTTGAAGGTTTCCAGTGTAAAAAGCCACATCTGAAGTAACCAGCCTGCAGTGAAACACACGACAAGATTAGAATGTGACCCCATCACATCCACCTGGAGCGCCTGGACAAGCAGACAGGGTGTGTTGAGGCACACAATTGCTACAATACATGTTCAAATCCTATGCCTGGATTAGATATTTGAAGTATCAGTTCAAAACTCAATGCTATGGATGTGGTTTATTTTACAGCAGTGATCATCCATAACAGGATTACTGCTGGGTGTAAAACTAGTTCTAGGGAAGGGAGATCAAACCATGAGTTCAGAAAACTCAGCAGGAATTAGGCATTTAAAACTTCTATTCTCTTGCTGTAATCCCAGGCTTATCTAGACTTAAACTCCCCATTCCATTCCAACCAAGAATATTAATTATTGCAACATTAACTTCTGTATTCTAGAGGGTAACAATTCTATGATTCTAGCATTAATGTAAAAAGCAACTGAACAGCACAACAGCTGTATTGTTTTAACAGTTTATACAGAATTAAAATCCCTCAGATACTGTTGAAACATGTCAGGGATCGTGATGCTTCTTGCTAGCAAGAGGTAGGAACAGAAGGTGCATTTACATAGCAAAAAAGTTAACCAGGATTCACTGGACTGGATTTTTACTATTATTACAGAAACAAGCAGTTTAATGAGGAGAATGAGGATCAGAAAACCATATTAAAAACCTGGTCAGTGAAGATAGCTCGAACAACAGCAAGTGCCATCCAAGGTTTGATGTTCCCCTTGTCAAACAGCCCCAGCTCCCTAGGAGATGTGTCTGAAGTACAAAACTGCTGCCATCAGACAGTCCTGGGCCAGCTGAGACCTCCTGATTGCAGGGAAACACCCTCAGCAGGTCACCAGGAACTCCTGCCCCAACCCTTCTATCCAAAAGGGATCCAGGCCACGCAGCCACAAGGACAGAACAAAACCAGCAGCACAGGATGAAGAGAGCACAGCACCGTGTGGGGCTGGAAATGCCAGTGAGAGAAACACTGAGCACAGCCAGGGCCTCACTTCAGCTGGGGCTGCAGAGGATACTCTGTGAGCTTGGTTACTAACACCTTTATAAATACCAAAGGCAATGGAATGTCACACCACGAGTACACAGAACCAGTTCAGATAAACTCTTGCACGAAGTACAAGGAGGAATGCACATAAACAGGAGAAGCAGCAATAAACTGGAAAGGAACAAAACTTTCATTGCAGTCACACTTGAAGCATTATCAACTTTCTTCTCTGACTCCTGCAACCTAAGACAATCTCTTCTTGCATGTGGGTAGGCCCATGAGTTTCATTCACCCTTGCTACACTGCAAACACATCACTGCCCCCAGGTCATCAGGAACAGTTAAAACTCCACTGTTTCAGGGGACAATCCATCTGACAACAGAATTCAGCCTGCAAGAGGCTTTTCCTGTGAGGTGGGGACAGCAGGCACAGCCAGGCACCCTCTCTCAGGACAGGTACCGCTGACCTGTTTGGGGATGGAGTGGGCTGTGGTAGGGAAGGGGAAAAGCTGTGAGCATAATCTCTGTTCCAGATCTAGTTCTGCTCTAAAAACCATTCCTGCAGAGCTGCCCACTGCACAGATGAAATGCTGCTTTCTCCTATTTTTACTTTGCTAGCATCATGAGTCACCATCTACATTTCAAAATTGCTTCAGGAATCACACAATTCCTGCTAATTAAACTGTGGCTGCTGCTGTCACACAAAGGGAGAGAAAGCAATCCATGAGCTGAGGACAGCTACCAGCAGGTTTCCAGTCGGACAATGTCCAGCTCCCAGTCTGTTACCAAGTGGATTGCACTCCTAGTCACTGTGGAATGGCACAAGTCATGCCCTTTACTGTAAGCAAGCTCCAAATGGGACATACTAAAACATGGAGCTGTGATTCTGGAATCATGACTTCCTTGCAGAAGATGCCCTCCCAATGCCTGCTTATTCAATCAGTGAAAGGAGAAAAGAGCCCCAGCTCACCCGTTCAGGGGTCCTCCATCATTGACCACATTGAGGTGGGCCAGCTGCCTCTTCAGGTGGAGTTTGTAGCTTGCGTTAATTCGTAAAAACAGCATCTGGAAGAAAGCAGAGTAAGGAACTGTGCCCATGCTCACATGGCTGCCTCCAAAGGTGAAACACACTGCCAGCACCCTCAGTCACTGACTTTTGGTTTTGTTTCTGCAACTCACGTTGTTCCTTCCTGTCCTTAAGGTTTGCAGCTCTGCAGTAGCAATGACTGCAGCAAACTCCTGCAAAAGCACGTCTGGTAAAATTTGGGTGTGTAATACATTTAGGGACTTTTGGAAGCCACTGATTCTGAGCAGTGTTACAGAATAATCCTCTCAGAGGGCTGCACTCAAGCCTAAAGTGTTGCCATTTACATAGCATTTCAGCACTAATTCCTGGATTGCCATCCCTAGACATTAAAAAGCAACTCAAAATCCTGAAATCCATTCTTTTTGTGTACCTCATTGCTCTCCCAACACACTGGAATACTTCCTTGTATTCCTTGTAGTTCCTTGTATCAGCCCAAGCTGTCCGTGTGACTGCTGCCAAGCCCTTTAACGTGTGGGTTTCACCAGGACTCAAAAAAGAATTCCCTCTCCCCGGATAAAGTCTCAATTGCTCCCAAGGCCATGTGCAAGCGAGCTGTGAGATGAAGCTCAAAAATAACATTCACCTGAGTTTGCTCCTCAGGAAGGAGATCATATATAGCTTCATGCATCTTTGCCATTTGCTTGCAGATATTCCTGAAGCATGCTGAAGGAACAGGGGCTTTCACTTCATACTGCAAATAAACACACAACCAGTTAACTCCTTTCTGCCACTTTAAAATGGTTTATGTAGGAGAGCTCCTAACAGCCACCTGGGGCTCTGCTTTGCTAATGACATCAGGAATCAAGATCCATTTAGCACACCACAAATTAAAAGGGTGGCTGGGCATGACCTGATCCAGCCAGGAGCTGCAGATGCAGGTTCCGTGGCTGTGAGCTGGCCCTCTCCTTCAGACTGGTACAAGCCAAGGACAGACAAGCACTTCTGCCTCTGAGAAATGTGCCCCTTGATACTTCCCCAGAGAAAACTGCTTGTCTAGGATCATACATATCCAAATTTCTGAAGGATCAGGGAAACCATAAAGAAATGGAAACTCCTGAAATCTCATCTATCTGCCACTAAAAAAAAAAAAAAAAAAACCAAACCCAACCACATCACATCACAGCCCCACAAGAATATTGCACAAATACCTTGGAAAGCAGAGTAAAAAAAAAAGTCCCTCCTCCCAGTGCCTGAAATTCAAGAAATAAGGCACTGGAAAACACCAGATGGCAAGAGATTTGCTACAAAGGGAACAAAATTCTTATGTTCCCACTCTGGATAGGGAGGATCTGAACAGGATTTCACAGACACTGAAAACCCATCCCAGGAACAATGAAGCCAGCTCTGCAGCTCCAGGTGGAGAGGCTGTGCCATCACAGCCTGGGTGGCACACTGGCAGGTCACCTTTGGGAGGGTGACACTTCCCCAGGGAGCATTGCACAGTCAGGAAAGAACCAAATCATTGTAACTACATCATTTACAAACTGACTGGAGGAGATATCTGCTGTCATGCAGGCCTGAATTGTAAAAGAGAACAAAGCTTGTCTGAGCACAAGAGAAAAAAAGAAATGGGGAGTTTTGAGAAAGTCTTTACAGAAAATACAAACCAATGACCTAATTCTGACAGGAGAAGTAGCAGAAAAAAATGCTTTCTGTTCCAGGAAACAACCACCAAGCATGAGGGATCAAGCATACCTCGAGACAAGGAAGTTAAGCAAGAAATTGTTT